TGCATGTCTTCATATCCTCATATCTTCATGTCCTCATGTCCTCATGTCTTCATGTCTTCATGTCCTCATGTCCTCATATCTTCATGTCCTCATATCTTCATGTCCTCATGTCCTCATATCTTCATGTCCTCATATCTTCATGTCCTCATGTCCTCATATCTTCATGTCCTCATATCTTCATGTCCTCATATCTTCTTGTCCTCATATCTTCATGTCCTCTTGTCTTCATGTCCTCATGTCTTCATGTCCTCATATCTTCATGTCCTCTTGTCTTCATGTCCTCATATCTTCATGTCCGCATGTCTTCAAGTCCTCATGTCTACATGTCCTCATATCTTCATGTCTTCATGTCTTCATGTCCTCATTTCTTCATGTCCTCATGTCTTCAAGTCCTCATGTCTTCATGTCCTCATATCTTCATGTCCTCATGTCCTCATATCTTCATGTCCTCTTGTCTTCATGTCCTCATATCTTCATGTCTTCATTTCTTGACATTTAAAATGATTAATATCATTCAAATCATTTCATATCATTTTAATAATTATTAAAAGAATTATGACATATAAAACTTGTTTCTGTCTGTGGTTAGATCAGATTGGAGATGATGTCAGGAAACTAACAAGAACAGAAATGAGGAAGCAGCTGAAAGAGGAACCTGAAAATAAACTGGGTTCCTGTTTGAAAAACTGTGTTGTGTTGTGTTGTGTTGTCAGATCGTCACAGAACTCGGACATGAATGAAACCTACGCTGTTGTCAACAAACCCAGAAAGACCCAACCTCTCCCATCAGAACCCACCTACACTGCAGTGGCCACGCCCAGCAGTGGCTGCAGGTAACACACCTTCAGGACCACTGAGGGGACTAACATCAGATCAGAAGGTTCTGTTGGTAACCAGGTTCTGGTTCTGCTCCCAGCATGCCCTCCTCTTCTCATCACTATGACAACGACTGCACCGTCCCTGCAGCTCCCATCTACAGCACCGTCAAACCCAGAACCAGACCCCTGACCCTGCAACACCCAAACACCCCCATCTATGACATCACATCACCAACCAACCTGAGCATGGGCTCAGACTATCACCTGGTGTCAGGTACGGAATATAACCTGGTGTCAGGTACAGTCTATCACCTGGTGTCAGGTACAGACTACCACCTGGTGTCAGGTACAGACTATCACCTTAACCTGGTGTCAGGTACAGACTATCACCTGGTGTCAGGTACAGACTATCACCTGGTGTCAGGTACAGACTATCACCTGGTGTCAGGTACAGTCTATCACCTGGTGTCAGGTACAGACTATCACCTGGTGTCAGGTACAGTCTATCACCTGGTGTCAGGTACAGTCTATCACCTGGTGTCAGGTACAGACTATCACCTGGTGTCAGGTACAGTCTATCACCTGGTGTCGG